GACACTTCCTTTCACCCCCGTCGAAGCCTGTCACCGCTACCCACCCTCGGCAGCAGGTCCCCCGGATCACCGGTCACCGTCACCACCCTACGTCACCGTCTGCGACGGGCGCGTTCGGGCGCGGCGCGTGTTCAGCGCCTCCATTATTTATGGCATCCACTAGCCGCCGCCTCCACGCCAGCTGATTCGTTTATACGGTGCGCCAGCCGCCGCCGCCGCCGCCGCCGCCACCGCGCGCTGCTCTGAATAGCAACGCGCCTATTTTATTCATCGCGCTCCCTCGCCCGCACGCGTGCGCGTGGACGCGCGTGTCGCGCAGCGTCGGCGTGGCGTCGGCGGAGCGCGTTCGCAGGTGTCCCGGAGCCGAGATTCTTCGCGTGTAATTTTTTTTTCATGGGTTTTTGTACCAAGTTGATTTTTTCATATTTTTTAACGTTTTTGCTTTGAGTGTACTTCCTGTTTAATTTATCATTAATGGGTTCCTATTTAATTTATCACCGAAAGGCAGGTAGTCCTAAAAAACAGAGGAGTGCGGTTTGATGCGTTTTCATGGGTTTTCTTACGGAGTTGCTCTTTTGCATTTTTTTCAATTTTTAATTTGCGTTGTTTTGGTTTGTTTGCGTTTACTTTCATGGGATTCTTTTTAATTTATCAGCGAAAGTCAAGTACTCCCCATAAACGAGAGGAGTGCATGATTAAACACTGACAAGAGGTCGAATCCTTGCACGGATGTTGGCACGTAAATAATGTTATGTATTGGCCATACTTTTTTCATTAAACAGCTCTTGAACTCGGTTCTCACAAGAGGAGCGCTTATTTTCAGAGAAGCTCTTTTATTTCCAGAGACTTGATTTCAGTAGGCGTGCGCAGCCTTAAGCAAGAGGGAGAACTACATTTCTGGATTCCCTTTCAACTTTATTATTTATATACGATTCCGTGTTTTACTAAAATAAATAAAATATAAAAGGAGAAAGGAATTGTGACTTGAATTATACATTTAATTTTATACTAATCATTTGCAGGAATATCAGATGACATGGAGGGTCTTTTCCACAAATGTATAACAATTTACCAAATCGTCAAGGAAAATCAAGAATTGAACCAATTCAACGAAATAAAATATTTTCTTACGAAAGCGGTGGAACCCTCTTTTTAAAACTTTCAGGGGACCACTACCCTCCTGACCTCCCCTGTGCGCACGACTAATGCTGGTGAATATCTGTGGGCGGAGCCTATTTGCTGCTCCACTCATTTCTTAAGTGAGATCATAAGAATGGGTGGTCCGTACCGACCTTCTAGTTGGATATTCGAATATACTGATTGCTTGCAGAGATGGACGCAGTGAAATGCAGGCTCATTGTACGACTTCTTCCCTTGAGGCCAAAACAATCCGCAGTTTTAAATGCGACTATATGTCGAATTGATGGGATGAGCTTATTCCACTTTCTAGTCCCAATCTCATTCATAGCTTTTCATAACTTAAAATGTAATTTTTTTCACGGGCAAATAGCTGTCTCTAAGAATGCGAAATTGCCTAAAATTGGAAGAAATCTTGAAAGAGGCATTGTGTTCACCACAGCGTCAGCAGCACTTGTGAAGTGCTCAGGTACATTGTCATTCACTGCGCCAAAGGTCGGAGCCAGTGCTAACGAGCATCTCAATTTGCAGCATTGCCATGGCTACGGAGTGCCCCTCGGGCGCTGTGCATCGCAGCTCTCCGCTAACCGCAGGGGCGGGCCTCCACGCGTCCGCTCACAAGGCTCTTCCGTGGGCCCTTCCGCCCGCTCGCGCGAATGCCCTCCCCGCTCCATCCTTTTCTGACCACTGCCCGCCCCGCTTCACCCCGTTCCACCCCGCGCCGCCCTTCTCCGCGACGCTTCAAATCGCTTTGCTCCAGCCAGCCGGCCCATCCGCCCCCA